GGAAAATTGATTTCCGGGTCAGCATCAACACAAATATTCAATGCAATTTTAGAAAATCACAATATGTGTCATACTGTTTAGTTGCATAGGGCTTACTAAGATAAATGATTAGCTCGAAGTGTCGACGCAATTAATAATATTAACTTACTATGAGCAGCTTTCATTTAAATATTTCAGCTTAGTTTTTTTTTTTTACAAAATCTGTTTAAGTTAAGACAATCCGAAATTTTTGTCTGAACGTGACAAAGCCTTATGTCATTACTCTTTCAGAAGGGAATTCTTATTTTTAAGTTTTTTTCCAACGTTTTGGCGTTGAATTCTCCAGTCATTTGGAAAGTATTCAGTGAATTTTGAACGGAAAATGTCTTGCCTTGCAATATATTCTCTTCATGCGATTCGTCTCATTTCCTGTGGATTTCTCAAGTGGAATTATTTCAAGCTTCTGGAATCGTTCCACTTCCTTTTGCTCTTGCTCTTACTGAGGATTGAACTCACCACCAACCTGACCGAGATAAACTTGAGCAGTAAAAAAAAAATGTTTATATCAATTAGCTTGTAGGATTTGAGTAGGAAAAAAGGTCATATCATCGAAAACTTTGGAATTAATTTTGGAAATTAATAATCAGCAAACTTCTTCAAAAAATAAACTATTACGAATAGTAAGTGAAATCCCCATTATTTTTATGTCAGTTGAAAAATTACGAAAGATCAAGTTAAAATCTGTCAAGTGAATATTTAAATGGCAATGTTTATCAACCAGGGATGTGCAGGAATCAGAACTTGCAACAGCAGCGATGGTGTTGTTGATAAGCTAACATCATCTTCAATGTTAGATACGAAAACATTCTTGAGGCATAACATTTTCTCTATTTCTCTTGATTTAAAATACTTTATTTTCAAGTTATGAAGTCAAATAGCAAATATTCTTGAAAATCCGCGATGACTATACTTTTTAATGGAAAGTAATATAAGAACAGCTTGGTATTGCAAGTGTTACCAATGGGATACTCGGGGTACTGGATACATGAAGGGTTCTCGAGGTTATCAGGGGAAAAGGCTCAACGTTTCGGGACCTACCATTCAATGAATGTCAATGTCCAAGCCTCCCCCGGACATTGATATAAGGTTCCACAACGTGGTTCAGCTGGCTTACTGCTTTTCGACTACTATGCATCATTTACTTGATAACTAGCATATTTTTTGCCAGATCTAATGGCTCGCTTTCGCAGTTGCTGCTTGGATATCCTTGTCAGTTGAACTATTCTTCTCTGCAAGATTCAAATGATTCCCAGCTCTCACCCCAAGCGTACACCTATGTATGCTCTGCAGCAAATCTTAGCAGGGAACTTTTTAATACTCCACACCCCATCTTCGCATTCCTCATTTGTTTTTTTATACAGCCGTTCTTTCCAAATTTGAGCGGTATCAATGTTGTCCTCATATAGAACTGTAAGTCCGTCAGGATGAATAAACTTCCTCTCAGGTCACCAGGTTACCAGATCTCTGGCTGGTATTGGAAATAATTTCTTGTTAGCCACACATATTTGTTGTTATCTCCCATTATCTACTCCAGATTTCTTCATTCTCAACTGGAGTTTTATCTTTTTTAAAAGAGTCTATCAAGCTTTAGACAAGAATGGTGATGGTCGGGTTGTTGCTTTAGGTGTCTGGAAGGCATTTAGCAGGGTTTGCTATACTGAATGACCACTCTTCTAGACTTTTTCGAATATTGTTGCCTAGGGCTCTATGCTTGAACCTATGTTGTTCCTAATTTTTGCAAATGACCTTCTTGTTGCCATCAGTTCTTAACTCGGTATCTATGCTGTTGACCCAAATATTTACTCCTGTAATAAAAGTAAGTCTGATCAGTTCGATAAGGTCAGATTTGCACCTGATAAAAAAAGACCCACAAAATGTTGTTAACTGGGGTAATGAATGGCTTGTTAATTTTAACACCTCAAAAACGAAACTGCACTCTTTTAATCGCCTGAGAGAACTATTTTTATCTTCCACCCGCGTGGCTGATTCTAGCTAGCAGGAGAGTGATTCATTGCTGACATGAAGTGAAAAGATTATATTGAATCAATTGCTAGATCTGCAGCTTGGAAAGTTGGTTAAGTGTGTCGTGCTAGACAAGTGTTTCTCGCCATAATCTTATATATTTATATGTCTACCGTTAGCTCTTGATTTGAATGTTACTGTCACATCTGGTCTGGTGTTCCTGTTATATATTTAAAGATCCCTGATATATTCTAGAGAAGAATCTGCAATTTTATCGGTCCTGACCTGGTGTCTCGGCTTCGGTTATTTTTTAACCGCTCTAACTTATATAATCTATAAGTAATTTCATGCTAACTGTTCTGATTAACTTTCTTCTTTGGTACCTAGACTTTATGAATTTAAGCGCAGATTGGCGACAAGATCTCATAATTTTACTGTTGAAATGGCTCAATATATCCGTAAACACTATGCTAACAGTTTCTTCTATCGCGTTTCTCACTTCTGGAAAACAATTCTTGTTTCTTGCTGTATTTGAGGCCCAAAGACCAGGTTCAGGTACTTTACTGTCTGTATTACCGCGGAGATCATTTCTTTAAATAACTTGATTCCAATGAATGCAAGGCATCCCCGAAAATGCTAGCCTATGCAAACTCTGCAACCAACATCAATAGGGAAATGCTTAGCCTGCTACTCCTCGTTTTCAGATTCGTCCATCAACTATTTTTTTGCATGGTTCTTCTTTCTGAATTTGAGTAGCATAAATGAAACTTTGAGTGCGACATGGTAACAAAACAAATAAAAGTATTAGGGGTTGCGGGGGAATAGCTTTTGGTAGAAACATTGAAATTCCACTTAAAAGTTTCCAATGCTTTGATTGACCAAAACAGATAACTGAAGAAGATAGGAAATCAATAGAATACGCACTCTGTTCCAGGAAGACAGCCTTCTGCAAAATGTTCTTTGAGTTAGCTTTGATTTTGATTTTGTTCTAAAGTTTAGAGAATTTAATGTTTATATTTCTTCTATTTTTCACAATAATTGTTAGCAAGGTTGTATCAACAATATTTTTTTACAGTTCCTTCGTAGCTGATATAGATTCCTATTTAAAGTTAGAGTTTGAATCCTGATTTCTCAAGGAAAGCTGGCTAACCAGCTGGTTTATTCAGATAATCGGGGCAGCAAAACCATCTTCTATCATTGGGCTTATATATATATATATATATATATATATATATATATATATATATATTGTAAATCACATTTTGTATATGCGATTCTTATATTTCTTTGAAATAAATTATTCAATGTCAGTTTTGTTATAGTCCGCTACTACTAACTTACTAAATAATTAATGTGAATACATCACTCAAGCAAGGTAAAAGCTGATGAAATCTAAAATCGATTTTGAATATAACTATCGAGTTATTAGTATTTACATAATTATGAAACGTGAGAATATTTTATATTTTGTAAGAGGATGTCGTTACCGTGGTTTTATTTAAATCCCTTTTTTTCCGATGATTCATTACCAATTTTGTTAGTTTTACGCCCTTGCTTCTATATGAAACAGAAAATCTAGCGAAAACTTTCAAGGAGAACATACATTTACATGTTTTTTTGTTTGTTTTCATAAGTATTTCTTGTTAATCAGACATAATCAAATTATTGTCTTCGCCTTTGTGTTTTTACCGATATACTCTTCCATAGATTCCATATATTTTCCAAACGGCTATCGTTATTTCCATACACATGTTATCTGACCGTTTATGCTGTACTCATTAATAATTCGATGTTGCAAAAAAAAGCGTCAGAATAGTCTTTTCGTGCGTTGTGTTTCGATTGTTTAAAGATAAATTATGTTATTTTCGTGGTGTGTTGGGATAATGTCCTCTAACCAAGGTAAGGTCGATTAGCACTGAAAGAAGACAGCGAAAAGTGGCACATACAGTAGCGGCCATCATATAAGGAACGGAAACGACAAAGACATAAATATGTGTATCATTTAAAAAGTAATGCATGATTAGCAATTAAATAAAGATTAGGTTGTAATGCATAAATATTATACAAAGTTACAAAAATTTACATTACATTAACAATGTAAATTAAAAGTTTATGCAAATTAACATCGTTCCTTTTTTCCAGTAGCTTATTTCCTTTGTTCCATTTAATCTTTATTATAAAAAACTATTATGTAAATTTTTGTAACTTTGTATAATATTTAGGCATTACACACTAATCTTTATTCGGTAAAAATTTCATTGCTAATCATGCATTACTTTTTAATTAATACGCATATTTATGTCTTTGTTGTTTCTGGTCCTTATATTATGGCCGCTACTGTATATTTTGCTGGCAGAGCAACTCAACACAGTACAGACAAAAAGGCACCCGGGTAAGACTGATTCCCGTATTTGGTAAGTGACATCGGAGTGGGAACTCTCTCTCTCTCTCTCTCTCTCTCTCACACACACACACACACACACACACACACACACACACACACAAGGGACAAACCATGTTTCCTCGCCTCCACGACTGATACATGTTTTGAAATAATGGACTCTTCGTGGTATTTGCATTTTTACTTCAAGGGAAGAAGTGTTATACAGTAAACTGCATTATTCGCCCACATTTCCTTTGTCGGTTTTATTTATATCTCTAGGAGTAAATTCTCGAAGCTCTCGAAGCATCTCTCACAGAAGACATATTCCAAGAAACTCCAATATTGACGGTATTTTCTTTAGACTTCGACCGCACATAACGTTGCACAATTTTGCTTAAAGTAGAAACAAGGAAAGATTTTTATTCCCTTTGTTAAGTAAAGAATGAAGGAAAAACAATTATAATTTTATCATGTAATCAAGAATTACCATAAAACAAAAGAAGTTACAAAAATGCAGATTTTATATTGGATACTTCGTCATAGTCTAATTTTTATGAGAGAATATTTTTTATACGGATAGTTTTTCACTCTGTTGTTTTCTTTTTTAATCTAATAGGCAGCGGACTTGATAAATATTCTCCAACTGGCCATCTGCAAAAACCAACGTGAAAGAATGTCGTCCCACAAAACGTCGTTGATGCGCAGCTTTAATAAATGATTCAATTTCCTTTGTGTTCAATCCAAGTTTTGAAATGATTGTAAGCCAATGGTTTCTGCGTTATGCAAAAAAAAAAAAAATAATAATAATAAAGAATGGAAAGTGTATATTGCAAAAACAGAGAAAAAACTAAAAAGTAATTAATATAATGGAGAAAACCTTTGATTCCTTATTTTTATTCTTTATTGCCTCTCAGTATGACAGAAACATTTATTTTGATAATTCTTTACCAAGCTTAAGTTATTGTAATATAAGGCAAACGGTGCACACACCAAGTAATGATGACTGAACTTGCTACGCTTGTAATGATCCGCATGATCAACTTAGAAATTAATTCTCTATGGGGAAATAGTAAATCGTTTAACAAGCCAATATACAGCAAAATAAAAAAAAAAGACTGCATTGTAATTACCTTCAGAATTAATTAAATGGAACAAACCTTTTACTTACAATCCGATGGATTGTACTAATTTTATGTTTTTTTGTGGATTTACTCATTTTCGGACAGAGTGACAGAAAATGTCTCGAATTTGTTTGCTTGCATGTGAAAAGACCACTCAGCACTGTGTGAAATGTAGAGTTGTCGCAAGTAATCCCTGGGGTGTCATCGACTTTGGATTGTAGAAACATTTAAAGATCGATATCGCCTGAACACTTCACTCAATCAATATAGCTGATTAACATTTTGGCATCGTTGAACTGAACAGAATTTCACAAAATCATGTTACTCAGCCAAAAAGGATTTATTGCTTTTATGATCTCCTTTAAAACTCTATTGAAATCTTTGATTGGTTTTTACCCAAATTAAAATGCTAAGATATCAAATACTAAGTTTAAATAACTTCCCATGCGGTCTTGAGGAATTATAACAAAGTTAATTTGTTAGAACTATCAGAAATAATTTTTGAAAGTCACATAAATTATTACGGCATAAGAGATCAAATAGTTGGATTTTCTTTCATTAAACAGTTATTTATATGTCTTCATTGTTTCGTTATAAATTCACAAACGTTATTTTTTTTGCTTTATACATTTTTCGGTTATGTAATTGTTATACCAGAACATTACCTATTCTATTGTAATAGACTCTCCCACAGACAATAAGTAGTAGTAGCGGTCGCCAGTTGGGCTCAGTGGAGTTGAGTGAGTCAGTCGATGTCGGACATTGAAGTATCAACCACCCCAACTAGATTGCTGCGTCATTAACTATTATTTTCAAGTTCCTAACGTTTTGAACGTCGAGCCTAATTTAGGACGACTTAGTGAAATACAAGCCTCCACCGTGAAAACTACTCTACAACAGTAAGTAAGAAAACTTTATAAATCTGTGTGGATTTGTCTTTACAAGCGAGATTTGAAATCTGTTAAAAGGGTGGTCAGCCATAAAAATGCCCCCCAAAACAGATTCTGTCTCAAAAGAATAGATAATAATCGATTTCATATATACAGTTTAAACCAAAATCAAAATTTTATTATGGTATTAAAATATTCTATATATCTGTCTATATTTCTGAGATAAGGTATTGTAATTATGTACATTGTTCGGACTCTTGTCCTCATCTTTATTGTCACTCTCACGACGTTTCGATCATTGTACGCTCCGGCCTTTCTTCAGGTGATTGAAATTTCGCATTGAACCCTTTATTTCGTCTACCAAAGTAGATTGTTCTAGTTCTACGTGCCATGCCTCTTCCTGATGTGTCAGTTATCTCTCAAATTTTGCTCAGCACTGCCGTAGCAAGGTATTGAAATCACAACTCTTTGAATCCAACCATCGCTTTCATCTACTGGGCCATGTGACCTTGAGAAAATCAGTATATGAATTTTTAGGATTTATAAACTTAATATCTCACTGTTTTTACCAGAGCGCATATTGTAATTTTGTTGTTATTATTGCTTTTCTCTAGCATTCTTTATTACTGCTTCCCATGTTGTATTCATTTCTATGCTGGCCAGCTTAGGAGAATTTTGTGGCCTGACTCTTTAAGTTATCGTATTTCAGTGATGTTATCTATTATTTCAATCCCGTAGAACCTGAAGAAGTCCGGAGTGTACAATGTCTCTCGCTTCACCGATTCTGTGAGTAATGACCGGATATCAACAGCGAGGAGGATAGGGAAAAGACACATCTTACTAAGATCTACAAACAATAGGATGTTATGGAAGAGTTCTTAAGTCACACGACACACAAAAGATGGATAAACAATTGCTTACTTCTTTAGTATCTGTCTATATTTCTGAGATGAGGTATTATGTACATTATTTACATTATTCGGACGATATTCCTCATCTTTGTCGCCATATTTATTACAACGTTTCGGCCAATGTACGCTCCGGCTTTCTTCAGGTGGTTGGAATGTCGAATTGAACCCTTTATTTCTCTCACTGGGGTAGACTGTTCCCGTTCCACGGGCCATTTTTAATGGATGTCAGTTATCAGTTATCTCCTGTTAATTTCACTCTGAAAGTTCTCCACTGCCTTAACCGGGTATTGAACTCACACTCTTTGCGTCCTGTCACTGGATCTAACTAACGCCTTTATCCACTGTGTCAAGACGTTAGTTAGATCCAGTGGCAGGGCCCAAAGAGTGTGAGTTCAATACATGGTAAAGTATTATATATATAGTAGTCAGAACACCCCATATATAAATATGGCGATGGATCATAAGCATGAGTTCCCTTAAGGTCTGGGTCGAGCATACGTTCCAATAAGGGCTCAATTCAAGAGTGTGATAGGCGAACATTCAGTGATGATGTAATGTTACTAGTTTGGTTCGGATAAAGCTTCAGATAAGAATGGTGAAGATCTGGCTGTTGCTTCACATATGACGTAGGAATTTAACATGTTGAACTATTTCACAAGTAGAAAAATTATGTTATTCACGGATGAATCTTTTTATTTGATTCAATCTTATCAAATCGCAAAATGAAAGTTGTCGTGAAAGGTCACTCTTGTTTATACGTTTGTACATACGTTTTTCGTAATTTTCATCAGCATTTTCCCTGATGTCATTAGTTCACAAATCGATATCTATTCTTCTGACACAACTATTTACTCCTGTCTTAATGGTAAGTCTAATGGATCACAAAATGACTTAGAGTATCAACTGGGGCAAGAAATGGCGTGTTAATTGAAATGTCTCCTAAACGAAACTGCTCTCTTTTAATCGTGTTGAGGGATTCTCCCCTTTTTTACACAAATAGACTCACCCAGTATATACATATACTACTGCTACGTGAAGACCCGAGAGACGAGGGCAAAGGTAACAGACAGACAGACAGACAGACCGAACGAACGTAGCGAGCAAGAGTCACCGTGAGCGAGCACGTCAACTTGGCGACGAGAACTTCGAACTCACACGGAAGAAAAATAAAATTCTCTCTCGTCAACCACAACAACTTGGCGATTAGTATATCAAACTCACACGGGAAGAAGAAAAAGACAAACATCTCTCTTCTCACCACAACAGCTTGGGCGACAAGAATTTGCCTTTCTCGGAGACTCAAAAGAGAAAATTGCCGTTTTTGCCAGTATCCACAACAACTGGGTAACAAAGAGTTACGAGGACTAAAATACGGAAAATCAACTTTTTCGTAAGACTCTTATTATGGAGGATTTTAAAAGTATTTTAGTTGAACTTGTAAAATACCAAAATGAACAGCAAATACAACTTCAAGAAAGACAAATTGAACAGCAATTCCAATTCCAAGAAAGAATGGAAAAATATTACTACAAACGCAGAAGGAAAATCATGAAAGACAAATGCAAAATGAATAAAGACAAATACAAACTCCAGGAGCGAATTGTAAAAGTAGCGAGTAATACACAAAAACAAAATATTTAAAAAGAGGCGACCTTTTCCCAAGACGCAGTATGGAACACGACAGAAACATTAAAATACTCCCTAGAAGAGTATAAAAATTTCGGGGACTTTTTCAGACGTCATGAAGACATCTTCAACATCGATTGTCAAAACTGGACGGAAGCAAAGAAGCTACGACTATTACCCAGGAAATTAGGAACGGATGAATACACAAAATTTGTGGATTACATTTTACCAAAGAAGACAAATGATTTAACGTTTGATGAAGCAGTTAAATGCCTGACGGAGCTTTTCAGCCCGAAAACGTCAGTTTTTCACAAAAGGTGGAAATGTCTTAACCTCGTAAAGGATGAAAAAGAGGACTATTCTACGTTCGCCGCAATCGTGTGATAAACATTGCGATGACTTCTAGTTGGCAGAATTAACACCGGACAATTTCAAGTGTCTTATTTTTGTACAAGGGTTAGTCTCAGCAAAGGATAGCGAAATGCGCAAAAGAATGATTTCAAAACTGCAAAATGAACCTGGGTTAACACTACAAAAACTATCGGAAGACTGCCAAAAATGTCTGAGTATAAAGAAAGACTCGAAGGATATTGAGGAGTCAGGAGTATCAGATATACTAAGTTAAACAAAAGTTTACGTTTTTCACCCTCCCCGGAAAGAAAACAAAAATTCTATAATAATGAAAAAAGATTTTCACCCTCCCCGGAAAGAAAACAAAAATTTTATAATAATGAAAAAAAGTACAACGTTCAGAGCAAATAATGACGAAAATCAAAGCAAGTATAAGCCCCCCACCATCTGCATGTTATGTCGTTTTAAATATAAAATCTGTCTTGCATGTGGAAAAATGGGTCACAAGGCATCCCAATATAGGAGGAGAAAATCTACTAGTAGGATAAGAGCTACTAGAATGCATGACGAAGAAAATACCAACATAAGGAAATATGTGGAACTTGAAATCTTAAATAAAAAGATAAAATTACAACTATATTCAGGGTCAGATCTGACGATAATTAACCTACAAACATGGAGAAAGCTTAATAGACCAGCAATGTTACATACACAGAAAATTGCTGTTACAGGAAAGCGTATAAAATTCGAAGGAGAAAGAATCTTAAATG